CTCCCTCTGGCATGGAGGTCCAGCAGTGGTCTTGGGCTGGTCCCTCTCTCCCAGCCCAGCTTATCTTGCAGGGGGTCTGCTTGTAAACAGAAAGAGGGAACATTATGTACACTGCCTTAATTGTTCATAACAACAAAGGCAGGATAAAATAACAGAATAACAGAGTTGGAAGGGACCTTGGAGGTCTTCTAGCCCAAATCCCCTGCTCAAGCAGGAGACCCTCTATCACTCTAGACAAATGGCTGTTCAGTCTCTTCTTACAAACCTCCAGTGATGGAGCACCCACCAATGAAGGCAAGTCATTCCACTGGATTAATTGTTCCCACTGTCAGGAAATTTCTCCTTAGTTCTAGGTAGCTTTTCTCCTTTGTTTAGTTAGATAAATCCTCCCAGAGAAAGGAAAACAATTGTTCCTAGCTTTTCTGTCCATATGGGAGGTAAAGGAAGACAGTTGTTAACTTTCCAACTAGTGAACCCCCCAAAAAGGAGACACCCTTGGGAACTTTGAATTCCCAAAAGTAAAACTTTATTGGATACACCATTTTGGTATTGAAGAATCAAAACCAGCTCTGGTTTCCGGCGCAAATGTTTGCTTAAGCTCCCCTTCCAATGTCCAATTATGAAATGTCCTTTTGTTATGGGAACAGTCCATTTCTTTGTCAAGCACCTCCAATCATGACTTTGATGGTTGCCAGGATCCTACATCCACGCAAACATTCTCAGCATTCTGTTTTCCCCTTCCTTCCCTCCAGTTCATTGGCAAGTTGAAAAGCATTAAGCTTTGTAAGAGGCAAAGTGGTTCAATCTTGACACAACTAGGCAGAAGACAAGACCATCCCGATTACCAAGGCAGAAAATGGAGTGGAAATCTAGAAAGGGATTCCTGCAGCCGGTTTCACTTCCATTCGTTTGCCTTATGTTGAAAAGCCCAAGGGGTGCCTTGAAGGGTGGAGGGGTACAAAACACAAGATAGATCAGGGTCCTCAAGCTCTTCAGTCCATCAAACCCTTTACAACAGGGGTGTCAAACTCGATTTCATTGATTTTGTTTTTAACCTTGGGGGGGTTGGTGTGGGTGTGGCCAGGGTGGGCATGGCCAGCTTGATGTCACTTGTGTCAGTGGTGCCTGGGGTGGCCCAAGCACTCTGTCACCGAAAATGGGCTCCAAATCTTTGTTTTTGGCTGGGATGGCCTCCTGCAACCCCCCTGAGCTCTGTTTTCACTGGCAGAGGGTTGCAGGAGGTCATCCCAGCCGAAAACAGAGAATGGGAGCCCATTTTCAGTGACAGAGGCACCATGGGCCAGTCCTTCACTGTTTCAAGGGTGGCCCTGTGGGCCAGATCTAAGCACCCCATGGGCCGGATCCAGCCCCTAGGCTTTGAGTTTGACACCCCTGCTTTACAAAGTCCACGTGGTTCATCAACCCCCTATACTTATTATGTGAAAATAATGTAAGAAGTACCGTATTTTTCAGAGTATAAGACGCATGGGAGTATAAGACACAGCAAGGTTTTGAAGAGGTAAATTTTTTAAAAAAGAGTTTTTGCACTCTGCAAACCTCTCAAAAATTGCCCTTTTTCCACATTTTCTTTTTAAAGGGCATGGATAGCCCTTAGAAGGCTTGTAGAGTGCTCCTGGGAGGGGGAGAAAACATGAGCAAACAACAGCTCATTTTTTGTCAAAAAAAAAAAAGCATTAGGAAGCTTATAGAGTGCTCCTGGGGACTGGGGGGGGGGAGCAAAATTGAGCAAACAACGGTACATTTTTTGCTCATTTCTGCCCTCCCCAGCCCCCAGAAGCTCTCTACAAGGCTCCTAAAGGCTATGCATGGCCATTTTGGTGAAGGGGGTGGGCTTTCAGGAGGCAAAAAATGCTGTATTCAATGTATGACACACCCAGATTTTCAGCCTCTTTTTCTGAGGGAAAAGATGCATCTTATACTCTGAAAAATACAGTAATTAACAGTACTATAAGCAATGGAGATGTGGGGAATCCTAAAATGGATGGACAGACAGCAGTCAGTTATTCAGTTTATTCTCAAAGTGAGTCTCCTTCAGCTCAGGGATGAAAGTTTTTGCACTTGAACTCAGCAACTCACAGAAGAAGCACAGCTGGTCTTGTATAAAGGTTTTCCCCATCATTATTTCCTCAGAAATTCCAGGCGATATTAAGAACTGATTGGTTGCTAAGATACTGGAGGACACAGCAAGGTTTACTTTGGTGAAGGAGCAGAATAATCTTTATTTTTGTCTTGGAGTTCAGCAGTCTTGCTGCTGTAGTCAAAGAAATTTAAATCCCCTGGGAGACAAGCGACAAGTGATAATATACTACTTAAGACTCCGCTCAATAATAGGCCACTTAATACTTCATAGGACTGTATCCTTGTCAGGGATGTAGGTAGAGAAGATCAGGAAACTGACTCCACAGGAAGAGCAGAGCTCCATTTCATTGGGATCTATTAATAATAATAGAATCTTACAAGCTGGAATTGGGCAGGGTCTCCAACCTTGGCAACTTTAAGACTTGTGGACTTCAATTCCCAGAATTCCTCAGCCAGCTTTGCTTGTGGACTTCAACTCCCAGAATTCCTCAGCCAGCTTTTTTTCACTTTGCTGAAGTCATATTATGCTTACTGCATACCCACCATCTATTAAGAAAGTTACCCTATATGGCTGCTGAGGAATTCTGGGAGTTGAAGTCCACAAGCCTTAAAGTTGTCAAGGATGGAGACCCCAAGCTGGAATGTGTGTTGCCTCTGTTCCTGTGGTATCCCAGCCCTTCCAAATACTATCTTGCTTTCCAGAACTTAAATCATGTTTCAGCCCTCTTCGCTGACATAATGATTATTGTGTATTTCTGCCAAGGTCTTCTTCCTCTTTAGCCCCAGCCCTCCCTCTCCCATGCACAGAAAACCCAGGACATAATTGTGGGAACAAATTGCAAATTTACTTCTCACCTCCTCTGTCAGCAGTCCTTGTGATCCTGCACAGTTTCTGCATGTAGCTGGGCAAAGATGGGTGTGTCCACCTCGTTCTTGCTGCACTGGACTGAGCTTCTTTGTCCCTTTCTGGCCTTCATCCTTCTCAACTGATCTTACAGCCCCAACTCAGACTGCATCATGTTTGGTCTACGGGCTGGAGCATCGCCAAGGAGGCCGATAAGGGATGGAAGATGCCACAGCAGTCAGCAGGGGCTGGTCTCAAAGTGAGCTAAAGGGATAGTAGTTCTGCCAATCAAAATGGTGGCAGAGAGGGTAGAGTAATTTCACTAGCAGGGTCTCTGCCCAAGGGGCCTGGGGAGAGGACTGAGCAAGACTTTGCTTGTACCAAGGGAAATTTTGCTGTATGCCCACCCTCTGCCCTTTAATCTTAGGAAGGTTTGGGTGGTCTTGGGTAGTGGTGAAATTCATTTTTTTCTACTACTGGTTCTGTGGGCGTGGCAGGGGAAAGATACTGCAAAATCCCCATTCCCTCCCCACTCCAGGGAAAGGATACTGCAAAATCCCCATTCCCTCCCCACTCCAGGGAAAGGATACTGCAAAATTTCCCTTCCCTCCCCACTCCAGGGAAAGGATACTGCAAAATCCCCATTCCCTCCCCACTCCAGGGAAAGGATACTGCAAAATCTCCATTCCCCCCTCCACTCCTGGGGCCAGTCAGAGGTGGTATTTGTCGGTTCTGTGAACTACTCAAAATTTCTGCTACCAGTTCTACAGAACCCGTCAGAACCTCCTGAATTTCACCCCTGGTCTTGGGGATTTTCTTTTCTTTCCCTGTTCTTCTCTTTATGTAAAATCCCAGTGGCAGATGAAACAATCTAAAGAAGCATAGCTTAGCTGAGCATCCTTAGTATGTACAACTCAATAGAACAATAGAAGAAAATAACAGAAAATGAAAAACAAAGGATCTATTTAAGAAAATC